GGGGGGGGGGGGGGGGGGGGGTGGGTTTGTCTTGTTTGGTAGGTAGTGGCCAGCAGTAATTTATGGATGGGTTCTTGATGTTGTTGCTCAAAAGGATGATATGCCACTTGGGTGGTGGGAAGGTAAAATGAGAAGAGTTAAGTTTGGGGTCTTTGATTTGAAATTGCACGGTGCACTGTGGGGATTTTTGCCATTTGTGCTGGGTCCCTTTCCCCTCGTTCCTCGATAGGAACCAAATTATTCTGGGTTTCATGCACTTCTTTGAGGCATCGTGTGATCAAGGCAGCACAAATTGACGGGTGGGTTCTGGCTCTTTTGCAATACTGAAACTCGAGGAGCAAGAATCGACACTTCCTGGACTCAGATGGTGCTGCACTTTCCAGACTTTCTCGTGATTCTGGTCGATATCGTCACAAGTTCTCTGAAGCAAACGAATGATTTCGAGTATAGAAATTAGTTGAATTACTGTGATTCATTTACTTGAAATTCCACTCCAGCGTGCAATGTGGTTCCAGTGCGACTGAAACTGCCAGTATCAATACATGCACTGGTGTAGATCGATTCAGTCATGCTTTGCACTTAAGATGTCCCGATGGGACTCGACATGTGGCACTTCAGTGTTCCAACGAGACCACTGAAACTGACCTGCAGCCCTCACCATCAATGCAATGCAGCCACTCATCATCCAAGCTTGAAGGATCTGAACAAATCAGACAAGTCCAGTTGGGTGCCACCATGTGCAAAGCTTCGCTGCACGGTGAGCGGTCCTGCGTGGACCTCCTCGTGTACTCTTTCGTGGCGTGAACCAAGGCACGAAAGGAATTTACCCCAAGAATCTAAATGTAAGGGTATTAATCCTGAGACTAAACACCAACTAGAATAGAAACTATCACTGCTGGAACCTCATTGTCTTCAACCAATGCAAGTTTTTTCAGTATGCACACCCTTTTCCTTTTCAACTTCATAATCTTTTAATCACTCCCACAGCTACTCAGACTCCAATGAGTTTGGATGAGAAAGTTCTGGATTACTTCCCATTATTTATGAATAACAAAGTACTTACTAAAAGTCATGAATGAGAGATATTTAATTAGCATACGATCAGAGAAAATACTCTAGCCAACCAACTACTTTCATATTGGCTTCAATGGTTGTTATTGAACGAGTAACTCATTAGAGTGGCTTTTTGGCATGAAGGCCAACTCCAGGGGCATCCAGTATTTATTTAAGTGAATGAGTGCAGCAGAACCAAGGACATGTAATACTGGCTTTATATGGAAGGCAGATTGCAGAGGAAAATATCACTGGCTGCCTAATCCCCTAGTAAATGATTAATTGAAGATTTCAGGATTTCAAAGGGAAAATTGACAGATACTCCAATACTAGAGAATAAAGTTTTTCTTGCAATTTCAATCAGTTTTCCTATATACTTGGAAAAATTCACTCATTCCTGAGCTCTTCAGAATTCCAAAAAGGAATGGAAAATACTATAATGGTGGATATAGCTGCATCACCCAGCAACCACTCTGCACTTGATTTGATTCCAGAGTTCAGGTCCTCAATTCTCACACTCCCTCTGGAATCACTGTTTTGCTTTGTCTTGTCACATGGGGATGCATGGCAATGAGGCTTTGGTACATGGATTGATTGAACCATTTCCCACCTCCCCAACAATCCTACTCCAGTGGGAAGCATGTTCATGAGAACAATGTACAGCTCAAGCTGTAGATCCACTTTTGAAATTAACATATTTCCAAGTAATTGAAGCATGTCAAGCTCATGTTTGATGGAGTACAAATCTTACAATTCCAACTTATTTGATAAAAGTCAAGTAAATGTTAAGGGAGACATTTCTGAAGGCAGCAAGGAACTTTCCCTTTCTTGAGCATTGTTTGCATCTTCTCTTGGCCACACACACTTGCCCTGTTAAGTCATTTGCTAGGCCTAGGCTGCAATCTTGTTTCTTGCTCAAAGAAAATTACTAGATGCTTTCCCAACTTCTTTCACCTTATATCTTGAGTACACCTTGAAAACAACTACATGGAAAAGTCCTGCCAGGCTCTGGCTCTTGGAAGAGAACAATTCAAAATTTCTAAAATCATTCTCCAAACAGCATACCCACTTCAAACTAAGGAAGAGGTCTGATGCTATCTATTATCAAAACATCCCTCATATAAGGGGGCCATTCATAAAAACGTAAAACACTTTGTGTAGTACCCTTCCCCACTCATTTTTTCTTGCTATGTTGATAGGGTCACTAGGAATGTTACATTTTGAACTGTTCTCTTAATGCATCAAGTGCTTCAAGACCAGGGGTTTGATTTCAATAAAATGAATACTGATGGAAAAGGGAAGTTGTAATACTTCTGCTGTGAGTGAAATATTTTCATTTGGAAACAGAGTTTTCCTTTTTTGAGCCATGCTAGAGTAGTTATTTTTTCTTATCATGTGAGAACATAGTGCCTTTCTCATTGGGACCCTAACATTTTTGGGAAATAAAATATAAGCTAGTTTGATGACCAAACTCTCCCATTTTATGAGAAAATAATAACTGGGCATCAGCAATGAACAGAGAGCATGAGGTCACTACTCGTTTTCTTCCTCCTCTTCGTCTTCCTCGCTGTTGATCTGCAAAAGTGGTAAAAACAAATCAAGTAATTAGAGATCACACAATACTAGTTGCTCTGTTGCAGATTCACTTAAATATACCTGGAAGTAACGAAGCTCATAGGAGTCCTTGGCATTAGCCACAACACGAAGGAAATCTCTTAGGTTATTCTTCTTCAGGTACTTCTTGGTCAGATATTTCAAGTACCTAGAAATTGTTAAATGCAAAAGTGTCAAATGCTGCAGGAAATTGGTTCTCTTTTCTGTGACATGAATGATACTGACAAAACAAGGAAAAAAAAATTCAGATTCACAACAAACCTCTTTGAGAAGTGGACATCAGATGTGAGGGTGATTCTGCTCTTGTTTCTCTCCAATGAAACCACATTTCCAAGATTATTGGTCTTCCCACCGACCTTGATTCGCTCTGTCAGGTATTTCTCCTATAAATGCAGGCAAGAAAAGGGACACGAACATCCCTTCGTTAGGGAAGTGCACCCTAACGAGAGACTAGGGAAGAGAACCCTAATCCCAGAGGAACCAATAAATAACCCAGCAGAGCAGATGATCAGCATGAAACATACACATATAGCAAACTGTGATAGGTTAGGCAAATTGGGACATGAGCTCCAACCTGATGGGTACAGTTTGCCCATTGGTCTTCCACGACATTGGATATACCCGAGGGTTTGACATTTCCCATCGGTATGAGGCTTAGTCGTGGGCTAACTACATGTGCTTAATTGATGCTTCATGACAATGACGATATGAAAATTAAATTATAGTGGATGGCAACTCCAAATAAGCCACATAAACTCAACCAAAAACTTTCTAGGCCTCCAGAAATTGGGGGCATTTTGGCAGACACTATGCTCATTCATATGGGGTCACTTCCTCTTGCAATGATCAAAATGAACCAGCCAGGGGAGAAAGTTGCTAACTTAATTTATAAAAGGTCTCATAGAGTCAAGAGTACAGTGAAGAGATTCCTTGGTCACTCTACATTCCTAAGAGTGCAATAATTTCAAACAAGGATTTCTAAGTGAACTTCAATATTTGCTTCTGCTCAGAATACTTCATCTTTCAAATTTAAATTATTGATTAGCCTGGTGTTCTGGCAAGAGCCACATTTTACTTAGTCACTCCACTATCATGATAAAGCAATTGCACTAAGACTTGCTATCTTTTTCAGATGCTTCAAAATATTTTCCATTTTGTAGAATATAAAAGAGACAGCAAACAAAAAAATTTCCTCAAACTGTTCATTTGAACTGCACAAGTTTATAGCTCCATTTTGTGAAATAATGAGATGCAGGATATCAACCATGCCAAGATAAACCACCTAATAAGAAAGGGTGTCAAAACGGTATGCTTTCACCACCTACAATCTATATGGGCATGGAGGCATCTTCAGGCCCTTATGGCTTCATACGAAGGAAAGCCGAATCAATAATGATGACTGAAGTAGCCCAGGACACAACGCATTACGCACAAATGACTTACAAAATCGGCTGCGTTCATGATCTTGTCCTCAACGGGGCATTTGCAATCAATGTAGAACTTTAGTTGGACCTTCTTCTTCTTGGTACCTTTCCCTTTCAGCTGCCCCTTCGGCTGCTTCTTTTGGCCTTTCTTCTGTAAAAAAGACATTAAGCAATCCACTTGAGAGAAGTGCAAGAGTAACTTGGGCCTGTCAAAAGCTGTCTAAAAAAACGCCGAATGAGAAGAAATTAAGCATGAAAATGGCCCAATCAAAAAGAAGAAATGCACTCACCACAACCATTGCAATATGAGCTCAACAGCGGGGTATCCAAAACAAAATATAGCCCAAACTTTATAAATGAGGAGCTGAGTTGGGACTTTCGCCCTGTCAAACGCGAAAGCCGAGCACCGGAAAGGACGGGAGAAGCGTATTCGACTCGCTAGTACGCCAGGAGGAGTTCCTTTCCGAAGGATCACAATTCAAAGACTTATTAAAATAGGTGGACGGGCATTTTTTGAAGAAGGAAAAAAAGTTACCTTTATATCTGATATTATTTTTGCGTAGTGATTTGGAATGTATGGGTAAAAGTGGTTTTCGGATAATCGGTCCGGAGTCGAAGTGTTTCAGAAATCGACTTATGAATTGAAAATGGCTGCTTCTTTCGGTGCCCCTGACTCATATACTCGTGATACGCATTGGCCTCACAGAGGATGCCTCTGCGTCATATCTGAACTAAAACGTGATACGCCGTTGTTGGCCCATCTCGCTACCGTAAATTTTCACGTGTGTAAAGGGTAGGCTAGTACGCCTAAGTGTGACGTTGAAAGCCTGAGTCTACTGCGTTCCTTATGAAAGGATTCGATAGGCTTGTTCAGCCTACTACCAGGCATCGTAGGCTCTTTCCGTTAGTTCACCCTTTGTTAGAATCTCAGATATCACTCCACCCATCTACGATCTGAGTATCGCTTAGCCTCGGGAGAAGGAATTTGGCTCAATTGGTTGTTTCGGGGATGAACTATTCTGTTTCGGCCTTCCATCGGCAAGGTTCTTCAGCGTTCCAAATCCTTTCAAGGGAATGCGCACTGCTTGGAAGTCTTCCTTTCCAAATCCGCCATGGCCTGCACATTGAAGTAAACATATCTGAGTGGTATCAAACCCAAGGTCATTGATTAGAGAATGAATCCATATTTCTCAAAAGTAATATGTATTTCAGAAGCATTCTCTTGAAATTTGTTCATGTATTGCATGTGTTGGGGATAATTTAAACTCTCTCCTTCTCCCCCATGGAGTAGAATGCACACACTCTGCTATGTTACTGGAAATGTGAACCTCTCTCACTGCAGGTAAGAGAACACTGACCTCTTCCATATTCTGTCATCCTAATGCATTTAGTGTCTCAAGAAGTGTGAAGTCTCTCAGGTGATTCTGATATGGCTGTCCTTATATACTGATCCAGAAGAACTTTTGAGCGTAAGAATTTTGTTTGTGCACTGCTGAAAAATTGCTACAAATTGCTTGAGAAAAGTAAAAATTCCTTGCACAAAACTTCTTTCAGGGAATTACATATGACTGATAACTTGTACACCTGAATCACCTAAAAGAATTCCTATGGTATTTACAGGCTTTATTCTTCCATGATTGGGTTGAGGTAAATGATCGCTGGCGAACTCCAATAAGGGAAGAGTCTGATGACATGCAAAAGTAACCCTCCCACATCACATTCTGAGCACTAATTTTTGTGAATAAAGTCAGTAAGGTGACTATTTCACATTAAAAGCAATGGTTCTTGGATCTATATGGGGTCTCCTGCTACGGCGGCAGCCACACTGATTCAAGAAACTGGCAGCAGTCTTGCACATCTCTTGCCATTTGGCAATATCTCAATGACAATGCTGACTGTTTCTGTGTTTCAATAGCTTTCTTGGCGTTTCTATAAACCCAAAACGGCCCCCTAACCCTAATGATGCCAACTTCCCGTATTCTAACACGAGGCCTTACTCTGATCCCCCATTCTCTGTATTCATACGCTCCATGCATGCACCCCATTGTTGCCTCTGTAGGCTTCTGTATATTCCTATAGTGCCCACTAAAGAAATTGTTAATCCACCGTTAACCTGTTCGTGGGCATGGACCCATATATGGGTTTTAAAATTTAGCGTGCTTCGAAACATACCATACACAAAAGCATTTCTGACGGTACTGGTAAGTTGAAAATTTGTGTACATGCTTATATATATTATATATAAAGTGTCTACATCACATACATGAAGAACATGAACAAAAATACTCTGTAGGAGCATGTTTTCTGAAGGTGTTGAAAAGTGAAAAAACTGGCCCTTGAAAGGGTTAATAATGACTCCAAGTCAACCATGCCCGCATGTTGCCTTGAGCAAGAAGTAACCTTTCATTCTAAACCAAAACTAAGTTTGAAAACCAAGGAAAACGTAACCAGTGATCATTGACCTTAGCCCATGATTGCCAGCACCTTGGTCGCTTTTGACTGCTACATGCCCTTGGAGCATCAGACAATGTTACCTTCACATCGTTGTGACATCTTTGTGTAACTTGCTATTCAACTTGGAAATTCATATATGTGATACTGTGCAGGGTATTGATCTTTCCTGCACACTGCATTTATGATGAAGCAGTGTGAAAATAATTTTATATGCCATACAGTTTTTCTGGGATGTTGTTTGCACTTATTTTTCTGGTTCCATGAACATAACACAAGCACATCAGACATATTCTGGATGGCATGGTACGTGATATGTCTTATCTTGCAAGAGGAATGCTGATGATGGAAAAGCCTGGAAAGATATGAATTACATCAAGATTGTGCAACATCACAGTGACAGGTGAAAGCAGTAGACCATATTTGATTCAGAGTGGAGGGTAGAGGTAGAGGGTTTTTCAAGCTGAACTAATATTTTCATAGAATGCCATTGAGCATGTTCTAAGTTTTCTCCTGACCTTTTGAAGGAAACTCTTCATATTCTCCTTCCCAAATATGGAAAGAAATAATGAGAGGCAGGTACCATTATTTAGAAGTACCATTAGTGTACCTTGTTAAGTAGCACTCTTCAAGTTATCAGTTGTGCTCTAGTGGGAACTTATCAGGTTTTTTGCTGTGATTTCTGAAGCAATGTTGAAAGGGTGATATGCTGATTAGGGAGCCACAAATGGGTAACATTTTTCAGAACTACGTGGTGCTTTTGTTTTTGGCATGTCTGAATTGTGCCTCAATAGACTAGATGTAGGCCTAGTGACAGGATGTGGCATTCCTCTTATCAGAATTCCGAGATATTGTTCCATAAGTTGGGTGACTAAGGGGAATAATTGAGGAGATAAGAATATCTGAAATGGACAAACAAGACTGCAGGTGTGTCCTTCCCATAGCCAATTGTTGGCTTTGTGCATCGGGAATGTCATGCAATGAGTCTTGTCTGTTGCAATAATTCCCACCCTATTCCCCTTTCAGTTTATTTTCCTTTCCAGGAAATGGAATCATGTAACACACTGACTGCATTCTCCAGTTGCATTCGAAAACAATTCCTTTTTATTCATGAGTGGCCTCTGAGAATCATCGGTGTGCCATGCTGTCTTTCTAACCTGTTTCAATCTGTGATGGGAACTGTGAACAAGTCAAGTACACTTTTCTAAGCTGTCTGGATTGCATGCATTCCATTACCCTGATGTAAACATTTATGATTTGGCAGGTGAAAAATCACTATTCATCTTGAATTTGAATTCCTGGAAACTTATTTCCTTTTCATGATTATTTAAATATCGACCTTTGAGATTTTGTTGTTTTGTTGTGAATGTTGATGCTCATCATAAACTTATAATTGATCCAGGACTCTGACCCAAAAATAGACCAACAAATGCAATTGGGTGGGTTGGGGTCTGTGTTTTGGACTGTGACAGGCACACTATTAAGCATTGCAGAGGATGCTCATCTTAGATTACAGGCTTCTCTCATTTGTCTTTGAAAGGAGATCACCTGGATCTCGTCAGTCAGCTTTCTGTATTTGTTTATGAGTACAAAGTGTATATTTTAATGTTATAGCATTAGATAGATTATGCCTTGCAAATTCGTTTTATAACATTTCAGTTGCTCCCCTTGTTTCTAATGGTAGGCCTTGGCTCCTTCTAAAATCCAAGTAGGCTTTGCTATTCCCATTTCTGAATGGCTTTGCTGAAAATTTTCATCAAAAGTAAATCTCAATGAGGAATATGTGCTTCCCATTCCGTAAATCATCACTTAATCTAGATGCTTTCTGGTTTTACACTACCCAAAGTAATGTTTTCCATAGGCCTATGGTTTGCAACATATTGAATATGCCTAAGCCAAACAAACATTTTTTAAATTTTAGCTATCCTATTTGTGCTAAACAGGAGGAAGCTTTGTCTTTCTGGATGATCTTATCTAAATGAAAGATTTTGCATACCTATTATTATCTGTTTGCTTATTCATTCCAGAGTTCTGTCCTGATCTAGCAAGTATTATAGGAAATTTGTTTTAGTGTTGCAAATATCTGGGCCCGTTTTGATTCAACATGAGGGGTTGACAGGAATTAAATTGTTTTCGCCTTTGAAGTGCATTTTACGTGGCTTGAACACTTCACGTTCTTGCAAGACCCAAGTATCTTCACTAGACTTCACATCCACTGCCACTCAAGATGTAAGTTCATCATTGAGAATCATACAATCACCTTTTGATTTAATGTTAGTTAGTTCTGGTATGCTGCAGACTGTGGAGGGAGAAGTCAGGAAGATTGAACGAGTGGATGTGTGTCAATTACAATGTTGTCTATATGTAGCAGTGCATTGCTATACAAAGTGCAAATGGGGTTGGACGTAATAAAATGTGGTTGTAATACATTTCTGTATCCAAGAGAGGTTTTTTACAATCCACTTTGATTCTTGGAAATCAGTCACCAATCAGTAAATTCCAGATTGACTAGAATCATGCTTGGATTAGGATTTGTTAAAAAAAAGGAATAGAATGGTCAATATTATGATTTTCAACAAATGTAGTATTTGAAGATGAAGATGTGACAAATAGCTATCTATCTATCTTTACAGCTCATAAAGAGAATGAGATTTTTATACCAGTCCAGTGACATGCAGTCAGCTAGATCCCAATGGTGAATGCTAATCTGTTAATTTTGTTTTTTTTTTTAGGTCGACAGAAGCAGGGCCTTCAGGGGACCAGCAGGGTCCACCTCGTCAGAATCCTCAGCAAATGATGGCTCAGAGGAGGTTTCAACAGACACAGGCACAAGTTGATGAGGTGCTGTTGCCATTTAGTAGCTTTTTCTCATTTTCTTCCGTATCCAGTAGGGTCTGTTGGGATACATATGAAGCCCAAACATCATAAATGTGAAAATTATTATGTTCAACTAAATATTGACGAATTTGAATTCACTTAAGTCAGAGATAGTTGTATGTAAGTAGGGTGATCAATATTAAGTACATGAAAGAATTAATTTCTCAATGAT